TCAAGATATACGGTACTTTTGCTCAATATTATAACACATGTTATTTTAGTATATTAATCGAGAACTTCGTAGACATACAGGGGAACATACTAGTTCCCCTTTTTCAAAACTTCCAAGGCTTGTTTTGAAGGGCTAATGAAAACCATACTGTAGTGATTTCCCCCTGTTCTATCAATGTCATTAGAGCTGGTAGACAGGCGCAAGTTTTAATGCAATTATGGCTAAACGTGTTCTACAAAATCTCGAGTTTTAGAGATCTTTAGATAACGTTACAGTAGCTAGCTACGGTCACAATTCGTCGCAGTGCCCGAACTTCTTTGATAGTCACTTCTTGGGTAGAAGGACTGTAGAAAACCCTACTGTAGTCTAGGTGCCAGACTGTTTCCAAGGCCTACACAGGCCAGTTTCTCGGCTCCAGGGCCAACATAACCCCCAAGGAAATTATTATACCACAGTTAAGACCAAACTTGCCCTGAACTCCCCGTAGCGGTAATTTTGATAGGCGGGCGAAGGGCTCTTTGCTGCCGAAGGAAAACGGCTAATGGCCCGATACTAGTCTAGCACCCAGGGTACCCTCAGTTAGACCCTGATCCACAGGCACGCTGCTAGTAGCTACCTACCGTATTATGTACTCGGCCTGTCAGAAAATGTTACGATCTTTCACTCCAAAATCTCTAAAACTTGTAAAAGGTTTATTTCTGTACTGTACCTAAAAAGAATAGATCTCGTTTTAATAGCGTGTGTATGCGTAAGGCCACACCGACTTGATTTTATGGATGACATCCGCGCGCGCATTGATTTTCGCCTGCCCCTCAAAAAAAATCACGTCCACCGAGGGTCTGGCCTGTCTCTAGGCCTGGGTAGTCCATGGTAGTTAGCGACAATACGGAGCCGGGCACCCAGGCTACCGAAGCCCCACGACTCAAAAACTCAGTACATAAGAGCAAAGTACCGATTCATAAATGCCGCAAAAAGCCAGCATGTGCCGGCTAGCGCTTGTCGTATACGTCGCTACGTACTGTCGCAAATTCACAATTCCAGCTTTGTATATTCCTGTGGTTTAGTAGCATTTTTATTTTTGGCCGGATTTTTTTTTATTCGCCCGCGCGCACTAGTTTGGGGGTCTTCGGAGGATGTCATCCATAAAATCAAATCGGTGTGGCCTAAGGTTCCTTTAAATTGTCCTTAATCCCTTGGCTTATGTCAAGGACCATCAGCTGATCTCTGCTAACCACGTCGCCCTTGAGACCTTCTGTTATTCTTTTCACGCAATGCTGTGTCAGCATACGGTCAGTCAACCGTTCCATGTACTCCTTTCCGCTCTCCTAAAAGTGTAAGGTTCTCATTACCGGACTTGTCCTCAACTCGGAAGGATGCCAGCCCTCCAATTACTGTCAGTTTATGCGTGCTGTCCTTCATCAGTTCTTGTTTTTTGTTGTTGTTATTTTTTTGCGAACAACGATATGAAAAGTTTTAGTCAAAGTTTGACGCTTGGACTGGAAGTTTTACTTTTGTCATTTTACGTTTCTCAAGAGTTCATCCAGGTTCTATTTACAGGAAGTTACGTGATGCTTCTTGAAATGAATTTCTGGGGATACAAAAGTCAGCGGACATTTGAACATGAACATGTCCTTGTGTGACCTGTCCTCGATTGCCCCCCTCCCCCTTGGCATGGAAGGATAATTTTTGCCTTTCCGATGAAGTTTTCTTTTTAACTACTTGTTGTGGTTTTTAATTGTATTGCAACATTCCTACATTGAATAGAGATACAAAAGTGGACATTAGAACATGAACATGTCCTTGAGTGACCTTGACTGCCCCCCCTGCCCCTTGTCATAGAAGGATAAATTGCCTTTCTGATGTAGTTTTCTTTTTAACTACTTGTTGTGGTTTTTAATTGTATTGCAACATTCCTACATTAAATAGAGTACCCAATATTAATAACGCTTAGATCAAGGACGTCCTTGCTTAGATCTAGGGCTTTGGCCACAAATTACTAGTATCTAAGGCCACAGCAAGTAATTTTTATGGATGACATCAGCGCGCGCATTAATTTTCGCCTGGTTTTGAAAAAAAACAACAAGATATTTTGTTGCCTTCTGACAGTGGTCACCATGCCGAAAATGGGCAAAGATGTCTGTTGCCATGCCGGAAGGTGGATGGCAGATAGCTATGAAGATCTATGAAGAGAGGAGACAAGAAAAGGCTCTGATTCAATGTTTTGTTTCTTACTTTGATACAGTGATATGTGATGTTGGCTGTGTATATGTGATGTTCCCACTGAATCAAAACCATTTGTACAATGATTGAGTCAAAATTTTAAATTGTAGGAACCTTGTTTTTTTCGGCCCGCCTTGTTTTTTTTCGCCCGCTCGCATTAGATTTGGAGTCAGCGGAGGATGTCAGCCATAAAATTTACTTGCTGTGGCCTAAACTTGCATAAATCGTTAGTGAGCCTAATCCTGTAGTTGTGACATTCTTATCTGATTTAATTTCTAACGACTGCTAACGACCATATGGAATATTTCGGAATTTCGTGCTACCAGATAACGAGGAAAGGTTCACCGATTTGCGGCTTTCAGAGATTTGAGGTGCCCCTAAATTGAGCTCCGAGTCACCGAACCGATGAAACAAGAGGAAAGGCGTTTCCTACAAGTGTAGATAAGGTCACAGCAAGTAATTTTGTTGTTTCTCGGATTCGCCCTGTCCACTTTTTCTGATTTGCAAAAAAAAAATGTTCTAAATCAACTGCAAAATGCTCGATGAAGGACATATTTTGGCCCCAACGGTTGAAGAAAGTCCTTTTCTTCCTAGTTTTTTAAAGTTTTCAATGTAACAGATTATGCAATTTTGTTTCGTAATAAAAAAATTCAAAATCTATTGTTTTAATTATAAACCAGCCTGCTATGTTCACTTCATAGCTTATATTGTAACGTTTCCGGCTATCATGGGGTGCATTGGCCTGTTTTTTTTTTTCACCCTGTCACTTCATATTTTTTTCTGAAAAAATCCGAGAAACAACAAATTAAATTGGTGTAGATAAGAGTGGACAGACTGTGTACATCATCGTGGATAATCACCCCAGGCTTGTTAATTAGTCCGCACAGATGGACGGGTGAGGTGGGGGGCCGGGAACCCCTGGAATTTCGCCACTTCCTCCCGACCAGCTGCCTAGCATGTTTGTCCTGCTTGGAGAAAGTTTGCTAGCCGCTAGCTGGCATTTTTACGGGCCGTCCAAGGCTAGCCTCTACCAGGCTTCGGGAGGCGACTGGAAGCCGTAGATATCGTCCAAATAGAGAGGTAACATGCCAGGGGAGTTGGTCCGCTAGAGAGTACAGTTTGCGTCACCAACTCCGAGCCCTGGCATGTTATCTCTCTATTTGGCCGATTTCTACTCTTTCCAGCCGCCTCCCGAAGCCTGGTAGAGGGTAGTCCGGGGGCCGTTTTGCCGGGCCAAGTCACAAAACTACATTCCCATATCCATATTAGATCATATTAGGGAACAACATTAAAAGTTCGTAGATCAATTACAAAGATGAGAGTTTGTAGTCATAAATTGAATATAGAACTGTACTTTTGTTGTGTCAGTAAAGTTCTATAATAAAATCCTCCCCTCCACACCCAAAAAAAGGCAAGAAAGCACAAGAGAAGATGGCGCCGCAAGCCGCTGGTGCTAGTGAAGATAAACATGGTGTTAGAACCTGAGCAGGTGGTAGTCGTGCAGGAGATGATGAAGAACGGAACATCTCCGTATAACGACACTCTGCAGTACGACTACAACTACGACTACGATCTGGACAATGACACCAGCGAAGGCGACTTCCCAAGGGTAAGTCTTCGAGATGCTCCCCTCAGTTCCAGGTTTGTTTGTTTGTTTGTTTGTTTGTTTGTTTGTTTGTTTGTTTGTTTGTTTGTATAACGACACTCTTCAGTACGACTACGACTATGATCTGGACAATGACACCAGGGAGGGCGACTTCCCAAGGGTAAGTCTTTTATTTATTTTTATTGAAAATTTCCACCAGATATGTGGAAGGGGAGGGAGAACAGGTGAAGCACCTTTTCCATCTCCCGCCCCGAATGTACATCAGTAAAAACATCATTAAAGTCAACATTGGATTAGCGTAATACATAGTACACATAGAGATCATACAATAGCGTTGACCTATAACTCAGATTTCCAGTCGGCGAGGCCTTAAATAAAGCTAAACCTGAAGCACATCTGCAAGCCAAAGACCATGTACATAGAATGTCTGTATCAAGGTTATCCTGAAAGCTGTTGTTTACTGACAGGACAAGACGCCGTTTGAATGACATATGACTGCAGCTGACTCGACGCTGCCACCCCCAAGAGTCGCCAAGACCTTTATTGGGATTTCTAGTTCATTCCCTTCAGCCACTAGGCGGGGAATGTACGATATTGCAAATGTTGATGTTTTGCAGCGACTAGGCATTAGCGTGTGAGACCCCTTGTTAGTATTGAGGAGGAGAATGATACATAGTTCTGTATCTTTAAATCGTATACTTTAGCCAATATACATGTATATATAATCAAAAGACCAATTAATTACTCCAAAAGCCCTCAGAAACTTTAGTGACAATTCTTGTTTCAGTGTATAGTTTGTTTTCTAAGCTAAAGTGGTGTTTTTTCTTGAGTGGTTTCTGATCGAAATCACGATCTTTGAAATCGCTTTTAATCGCTTGCTTTTTATCCAGCTCGCTTGCCATACGCGTTTTCTCAGATACATCGAACCCAATATCTTTGACCCTGGCCGACTTAGCCCTTTTGATATAATGGATGTAAACATCACTTAATCAAATCATTGACGTATTGTGACAGCCAATCAGATTTCATCACACGCAAGACCGTTACACTGCAATTTTGAATGAGGTAGTTAGATTAACTTTTTATCATGACGAATCATCGGGTATCTTTTTCTGGAGTGAGTGAATTATGTTCTTGGCCTTCGGCGCTGCTCATGTATATCCACTGCATTCCCTTTCACCGATAAGATTTTCAAACGAAGTTGCATTGTCCAATCACATCCTTCCTTACAGCTAGGATCGGAACCGGCCTTCAAAAGACCCAAACGGAAAGCCATCCGGGACCTCAGGCTAAGGTGGCCGGGCGGAACCATTCCGTACATCATGGGGGACAGCCTCAGTAAGTCCCACCACCAGGGGTGCCAGAGTATACATTGCAATTTTAGGGAATACAGTGCAACATTACGCAATACAGTGCAATCGTATTAGTATACAGTGCAATTTTAGTAGTAAAATTGCATTGTATTCCGTAAAATTGCACTAGCTGTACACTAGTAACATTGCACTGTATTCCGTAAAATTGCACTGTGTTCTAATACGATTGCACTGTGGTAAAGTTGCACTGTATTCCGTAAAATTGCACTGTATTTCGTAAAATTGCACTGTATTCCGTAAATTGCACTCTGTATTCCGTAAAATTGCACTGTATTCCGTAAAGTTGCACTGTATATGCCTTAAAATTGCACTGTATTCCGCAAAGTTGCACTGTATTGCGTAAAGTTGCACTGTATTGCGTAAAATTGCACTGTATTCCGTAAAATTGCACTGTATTCCGTAAAATTTCACTGTATATTCCGTAAAATTGCAACGTATTCCGTAAAGTTGCACTGTATTCCGTAAAATTGCACTGTATATTCCGTAAAATTGCACTGTATTCCGTGAAGTTGCACTGTATTGCGTAAAGTTGCACTGTATTGCGTAAAGTTGCACTGTATTGCGTAAAATTGCACTGTATTCCGTAAAATTCCACTGTATTCCGTAAAATTCCACTGTATTCCGTAAAATTCCACTGTATTCCGTAAAATTACACTGTATTCCGTAAAATTGCACTGTATTCCGTAAGTTGCACTGTATATTCCGTAAAATTGCACTGTATTCCGTAAAATTGCACTGTATTCCGTAAAATTGCACTGTATACTCTGGCACCCCTGACCACAGCTTGAAGCCTTCGACATATGAAAGGTCTTAAAGGCAACAGTTTGATGTCTTCAAAACTAAGAACGATCTAAGGAATTCCCGGGAATTCGTTCCTATCGAGCGAAAGTATTTCCTAGACCTTGAGGGACTTGAAAAACTTCCTTTGCTGTGGGACTTTCCCACGGAAAAAGAATTCACAAACGACAATCACTAATTTTTTCTTGCTGAAATTAACAACAATGAAAGTTCTGAATAAATGACAGTGAAATTTATTACATATTCACGCATATTCATTGGGGCTAAATTCAGTACATTAGAACAGGGAGACTACTAGTATGTTAGTTTCTCTCTTTTTGAGACATTTGTAGACAAATTTGCAGAGTCTTTTAATACATCGTGGTCAACTGAGACATAATATGTAAGAACATGTCATCCTTTGTTAGATGTACATATTTCTGTTCTAACTGTATTTCATTGACAAAGCATTGTGTAAATCAATGTATAGTGGACACTCTATAGTAAAGAGGACTTCGCTTTCTATACTTTCTGTATTAAAGTTGTAGTAAAGTTGTTTTACACAACCAAGTGTTTTATTCACAGCCGACGTCTCGGTGACCGTCTGGTGGCACTGTAGATACAGTTCTCTGTAACCACGTATACTAGTATGTGTACTAGTAGATATGTAAATATTGTGCGTTTGGGAATGCATCTATAGCAGCGACATCCGTGCTGCAGTGCAATGTGAACCAGTCAGAATTGCCCTGAGAAAGGTGACAGACGGTCACCAAAACGTCAGCTGTGAATAAAACACTTGGTTGTGTAAAAAGAGTCTCTTTACTCAAAGGACCACTTAATTTTACACCATAATTCCTCTTAATGATAAATTAATTTATGTACATTTTGTGATATGAATAGTGTTCCTTTCTTTTGCAGCACACAACGACCGCTTGTACATCGACCAGGCCATGGCGAAGTGGCATGAACACAGCTGTGTGAGGTTCAAACCTTACTCCCGCAAAATGGCGAGCTACCTCGGTCACCACGATCACATCATCTTTTACAAAGGGATCGGGTAGGTGTTACTTACTTCCTTAAGCCCTGGTCACAACCCGCCGTGCGTGCTTTTTGACCGTACGTTGTATTGGTACGTCTGCTGCGTTTTTCTGAAAACGTGGGGGAAGTAGTGGCGTCGACGCACGTACTCGCACGTCACTCGCACGGTTGCACAAGGTGTAAGAGTGTGGTCTGCACGCCACGTCTGGCCGTGAGCGGTTGCGTGCATCGTAGGTTGCGCAAGTGGTAAGTGAGTTGTACGTGCTTACAACGTACGATCTCAGTGCGGTAAGGAGGTCGTACTCACACGTGCTTCTTACGTGCGGCACGTACGGGGCACGCGCGTCGCCCGTACTCGCCCGTACGATTGGTGAATCCGCAGACCGCACGTAGAAAAAGTTTTACATGCACTTAAAGTTCTACGACGTGTCTGCGTGCTCCCAAATCCGTAGGATTCCGTGCGGAGGTGGTGCTCACCACTTACGGATCCCCTACGTTTGCCCACGTCTTTGCATGTAGACAACACGCAGAAGCACGTACGGCGGGGTGTGACCAAGGCTTTAGCCTCTACCAGGCTTCGGGAGGCAGATGGAAAGTGTAGAAATTGTCCAAACAGAGAGATAACATGCCAGGGGAGTTGCAAAACTGTACTCTCTAGCGGACCAACTCCCCTGGCACGTTTATCTCTCTATTCGGTCAATTTCTACTAACTCTTTCAAGCCAAAATTGCTTCAACGTCGGACATGGGTCTGTGGTGGAGTGTTCCGGGTTCGAATCCTGCCCGATGCCACCGATCTTGTGTCATTGGGAAAGGATCTTGTGTCCTTGGGAAAGGCACGTCTTTCTGAATGCTTTCCAGCCGCCTCCCGACGCCTGCTAGAAGCTAGTACTTGAAATGTTCTCTACGTACTCAGCTCAAACTTAACAGTTTTTATGGTTATTAGAAAAATTTATTGCAAATTCGTGCCCGGAAGCTAATTGCAAATTACAAAACATAAAAGAACAATGGAATAGAGTATAAAATAACTAAAGTCTACATGATAAAGGTAGCTGTCTAGAACTATAACTATGTTTAAAACTATGTCTGAAGGGTTTGACTTCTCTTCTGTAAACCATGGAAGACGTAATGTCCCACCTTTTCCAAAATTTTATGGTTTTTGGGAAGTTAAAAGAAGAATAGTTTTTTCTTGGTCTGTAAGTTTAGAGAAATTGGGATAAATTGTAGACGTTTTAATAGACAACTCATTTCGAGCGTTGTTATGGAATGAACAGTTTGAAATAAAATGAATTTCGTCTTCCACAGCCTTTGCACTACAACATTTACAAATTCTTTCACATACAGGTAGTCTTCTATACCGGCCTCTCTCTATCTCCAGAGGATGGGCGCTAGACCCATGTCATAAGCATTATCACAGATCTTTACAATCATCATCAATAAACACCGGTTAACCTACTTATATCTTGAACAGGTGTCTGTCAGATGTGGGAAGACTGCTGGAGAGAGACCAGCAAGTCGTGTCGATCAACGACGCATGTCTGTTCGCCACGTCAAACCCGGTACGTCATCAATTTGGTTGTCCTGAGCTCCTTTTGTAGTGACGTCAGCATAGTCAGCAAGGCTTATGTGTGCATTCATTCAACGGAGAGGCAATTTGAATGGATATTTTTTTGTTTATTCATAGTTTTACCAATCCTTTATTTGTTCATATTTTACCAATACTGGACAAATGTTACCATTTTTATAACTTACATCCATTGTCTAAATGCAAGCAACTGAAGACTTGATATTTTTATGTTCACCTTCGCAGAAGGAAAACACATTGCTTTTGCTCAGTTTCTTCATCTTCTTCTCCAAACAAATAAGGTCAATGACCTGAACCAAACGTCTGTCACCATGATGGTAACCGGTGTTGGATTACATTATGTAGATTGGTGCAGAGTTGGAGAGGCTGGTCTCCATATTATACATGAATTTGTTTGAGTAAGGAAAAACAGAGCGGTAGTTTGTTAGGCTAAGACCATGTGAAGTTAAACATTATGCATTTGCTTGCAAATATTACCTTTCTTGCTAACAAATATTTCCTTCTTAATTCTTTCTCCAGGTTGGAGTAATTATGCACGAACTGGGTCACGTGCTGGGTTTGTACCACGAACACAGTCGCCCTGATAGAGACGAGTTTGTGGACATTTTGGTCAACAACGTCCGGGTGAGAGACATCTTTCTGTTCCTTAGAAGTAACACTGTTCCTTAGAAGTAGTAAGCACGATATAACCGCCCTTCAGCGTAACACACCAGATTCGCAAGCACACGTCGCGGCAGCAGCTGGCTACATTACACCGAACGACTTATTACACCTAACCCTTGAACATGTAACTCTAAATATTGTTCAAAGCTATCTAGTGGTAATGCCCCTACTGTACTTGGTGACAGTGAGTTCCACTCTGCGATAGTTCTAGGAAAAAATATGTTTTTGAACACCTTAATCCTTGGTTGATAACTCAGGTACTTTAAGGCATATTTTTTTTGTCCATTTCTCAGCTAGTATTAGTAGTCGGTACGTCCACCAGTTTATTAGACTATAAGATCATGATCTATTATACTATATAGTATCAAAGAGCAGAAAGTCACCATAATAGAAAACATTACTGCATAGAAAAAGGCTTAGTAACCACTCAATTACAACAAAAACAAAATGCGCTAGACAATGAATTTAGTTACAAGTTTAAAGGATTTTTTAATGAAATAACACTTAAGATCTATTGTAAGGCATACTAGATGTTCTAAAATTGTTTTATTTTTCAGCCAGGAGAGGAATACAACTTCCAGAAGATGTCCTCTAGCGACATTAACCTGTACAACATCCCTTACGACTATATGTCGATCATGCATTACTACAACTCGGTAAGTCCAGCATCCATGTTTCTCACCTCTATGAAAAAAACTGCATTCTTGCGTCAAAATTGGAGGGCAACACTGATTGGTGCTGTACTTCGCACCGCAGCTAGGTGTCGCTGCTGCAGCGTAAAGAATGACTGAATTTGTATCCCCCTTCGTCAAATTCAGTCACGTTTGGGACTGCATATAAAATCAGTATTGCCTTGAGAGGGCAATACTGGCAATAAGGGCAACTTAGAGGGCAATACTGACTGGTGCTATACTTCGCACCGCAGCTAGGTGTCGCTGCTGCAGTATGAAAATTGAGGTCCCGAACGTGACTGAATTTGTAAACCCCCTCGTCAAATTTAGTCACGTTTGGGACCGCATATAAAATCAGTATTGCCTTGAGGAAGGCGACAGACAATCACCGAAACGTCAGCTACATGTACTGTAGATATTATTTCTTTGATGTTTATGATATATACCAGGATATATACTTTATTTTCAACTCCGTGAATAGTTTTATCAGGTTGGTAAGTCACTGAGTAAAGAGACTCTTTTTTCACAACCAAGTCTTTTATTCAGCCGACATTTCGGTGAGCGTCTGTCACCTTCCTCAAGGCAATACTGACTATATATGATAACAGATACAGTATATACAGTTTCCTGTAACTACGCATATGTGTAGATATGTAAATAGTTTACGTTTGGGAATGCATCTATAGCAGCGACACCTGTGCTGCAATGCAATGTGAATCAGTCAGAAGTGCCCTGATGAAGGTGACAGACGGTCACCAAAACGTCGGATGAATAAAAGACTTGGTTCTGTAAAAAGAGTCTCTTTATTGAAATTAAATGAAATGAAATGAGATACCTTTATTGTACATTCATGCCACGACGGGCTAGGTACAGGTCAAGACTTAACAGACACATAACAAACGTATGTAGAAAAGTGGAGACAAAAGATACATAAGTAACATATAAGGATACTATACTAGGCTAATACAAAGTGTTCTAGCTACTGAGCTAATACAGAGTGGTCAACTTCTCGCTTTTTTGTACAATGGAAAATGTGGGAACAGATCATGTTTGTGATACAGGGTTTGTCTAGACGCATCAAAAATATAAATTTATTTAGGTATTCAAGGTATGGGAACTGCTCTTTCATATGATTAAAAGGACACAGATCTTTCATTAGAATTCGAATATAAAGTACAGTCTAAAATAAAGTGTTGTTCATCTTCTATTCTGTTTATTTATTAATTACTCAATTTATTTTCGAGGTTAATGTGTTAAAAATATTTCTCCGTGGTGAACCCCGTTAGGAGTGGACAGTGAGGGCTGACCTTCAGACCATCGTGACCAAGGACACCAAGTACCAGTACTCCATCGGCCACAAACATGCGCTGAGTTTCTACGACATCAAGACCGTCAACCTTCTGTACGGATGTGGTGGTAAGTATATGTACATACACTCACTCACTCACTCACTCACTCACTCACAGTCACTGGATCGAGCTTCCCTCGGTTCCATACATGCACAGTCAATTATATTTTACTGAATTCATTTATTCTATTCGATATTAGGGCACAGCAAGTAATTTCTATGGATGACATCAGCGCGCGCATTAATTTTCGCCTGATTTTGGAGAGAAAAAAACAAGGAATTTTGTTGCCCTCTGAAAGTGGTCAACATGACGAAAATGGGCAAAGATTATGTCTGTTGCAATGCCGGAACGAGCATATGAAGAGAAGAGACAAGAGCTCTGTTTTGTTGTTTTGTCTCTTACTTTAATGCAGTGATGTATTTCATTCCCTTTATATGTGGTGGTGGCTGTGTATATGTGATGTTCCCACTTTAAAAACCGTTTTAAAAGTCAAAACCATTTGTACAATGATTGAAAAAAACTTATTACTCAGTGAAGGAGACTAGATAAGTACACGGAATGCCGTCCAATGATGCACTGGACTGTCCACTCGAGTTCAAGTCGGAACTAGTGAAAATTCAGTATAAGAATGAGCGATCCCAACTGGAAGAATCTTCCTCCCTGGGTGAAGAGATGTACTCTACTGTTATGTACTGAAACTGAGTTGTCTGTACTGCTCACTGCTCACAGACCGAATCCTCATCTGTCACAGACCTGACGGATGATGCTTGCCTCGGGGGGAATTGGAAATCCACTCTTCTAGATCTGTCGACGAACAAGCTTTGTTACGCCACGAACGCAAAGGATAGAATAGACAAGATTCATTTTCACCTGAGTAAAGTCGTCTCAAGCGGTCTTCCCAAGGGTGGCATGGCAGGATTCGAAGTCGGGACCTCTCGGTTCCGAGCTGAGCGCTCTGCCGTTACACTACACGGCCCCACACTTACGTCCGTGTGTTATGTTGTTTACACTAATGGGGATCCGGATAAAACAAACAGACAAACAAACAAACAAACTGTGTGTTAACACAACGTTGTGATTGAGCACTGTCAGGGCCTCTCCTCTCTTAATATTTAACCAGGGGTCGCCCATTAAAGCTTTGGTCCCAATTGGAAAGAGGGGCCCTGGCGGGTAGTTCCGGGGCTGTTTTGGGGCACTTTGCGAGTTACCCCTACGTGGCCCCGTGGGACACCCCGCGGCTACTGGGCTATTTTCTGACCCGTCCGGGACTCGAGAAGAATTTAACTCTGACTTAAAATTCTACCCGGGCCCCTCTGACATAAAGACGCCGTGACCAAGCCGTGAGAACACCGACAGGTACCCCTCCGGTGGCCGACGGTCTACCGTGACTAACTTGTTACGTCTTTTCCATCTTCTGCGTGGGTGATTGTTGTCTATAAGACACCTGTAGTCCTCTCAAAGAAAGTACTAAGTAAATGTATATGATCCAAGCAGCGTTTGTTTATATAAACCCCGAAATATGAGGAGTGCCCAGCAACAGCCATCATAATGGCAGACCGTCGTTTGTGGGCATGTGGCAGGGACCTTACAACTGCCCCACTGCAATGGGGGCCCGCATGCCCTTTTCCGTAGAGCGTAATCGGCCGTTTTAATTCTACGCAGAGCGTAGACGGACCGCTCTAATTCAACGTAGAGCGTGATTGGCGTATTTTGCGTAGCCAGCGTTTTGGCCGTTTCAATTCTACGTAATGCGTTGTAGCCACTTGGAATTTATCGTAAAGCGTAATCGAGAGGTTTCCGAATTCAGCGTAGAGCGTTGTCGGGAGCCCCCCCCCA